CACCCCCCCACCCCAAAGCAATAATGACTTAAATAGTATAGAAGTATAATTCTCTTACATCTGAAAGAAGTTTGGAAATAGAAAAATCCAGAATTTATAAGATATTACACAGCGTCAGGATCCCAGTTCCTTCTATCTTATTGCTCTGCCCTCCTCAGCATTAGCTCCTACTTCATGGTCCTAGACAGTGGCTTAAGTTGCAGCCACCCCCTCTGCATCCCAGGCAGTAGGAAGGAAGCAAAGAAGGGTGCCCCCTTCTGCTTTTAGGACGCTTCCTGGAAATTTCACACACATCACTTTCACTTACAACTCATTGACCAAAACTTAGTCTCACACTAGGAAGGTTGGTAAATGCAATGTTCATTCTGGGTGGCCATTTAAAAAACAGCTTCTGTTACCAAGGGAGTCAAGAATGGATATTGTGCTAAACAGTTTCTGCCATGGGTGTTAAATAACTTGCCCCAAGTTTTCCAGTTGAACCCTGCCTGCCATACCAGAGGGAAGAAGCAGTAGGACGTGGAGATGGGTGGGAGGTGGGTGGGAGGTGGACACTTAGCATATCTGCCCTGAGGTATGGAAAATGGCTCCAGGGTCTCCTGCCTGCTTTACTGAAATTCCACTTGCTTTGCCAGGAGTCCCATGGCCTTAGCTAGTCACTGGAATCTTCACTGCCACCTCACTTTGGCCAATGGACACCGGTGAGGAAAAATGCCAAGTCAGTGTTGAAAGTGTGGGGAGGGGTAAAAGGTAGAGCAATTTTTCTTTCCCTTCAGCTTCCTGTTGCCTGGATTCTCTTTGAGAATGGCAGACTCATGGTTCCATTCTACTTGTGCTAATATGTTAGGGTGCTTCTACCCCATGCAAGATCCCGGGCAGGCCCTGGAGGATGCAGAGGGGAGTGGATAGGGTCCCATTGTCCAGGAGCACACACATGTACACAGATAACTTAAGGGAAGGCCCTTGGAGAGATAAAGTGAGATGAGAGATCAGGGTAGGGGGTTGGGGACAGTGTTCAGGGAAGAGAAGGCATTTGAATTTGTCTTTGAAGATTAGTTAGAATAGTAATTAAAGTAACTGGGAAGATAGTCAAAGTGCACCCCAAAGAGAGAAAACAAAATGATCAAGAAAACAGAGAGAACCTAAGGAAAAAGAATGAATCCATTGAAGCTTAGGGAGACTGTGAGGGAAGGAGGCTCAGGGTCAGACATGGGTGTGGTGGGGTGAGGTGAAAGTAAAAGCTGGGCCAGCAGACTGGGACTAGCTTGCAGCAAACTTTACATATTACAATAGGGCTTTGTTATGGAGGAAGCTAGGAGTCATCCAAAGGTTTTGATGAGAGATGACATAATGGGCTTCCCTTTCTGGCCTATTTCCTTTTAATAGTATTAAACAGCAGACATTCTTCAAGAGGCCAAAGACCAATAGAAGTCACCAAAAGAGAGGGCTTAGAGCAGTGATGGCGAACCTTTTGGGCTTGGCGTGTCAGCATTTTGAAAAACCATAACTTAACTCTGGTGCCATATCACATATAGAAATTTTTTTGATATTTGCAGCCATAGCAAAACAAAGATTTATATTTTTTATATTTATTTTATATATTTAAATGCCATTTAACAAAGAAAAATCAACCAAAAAAATGAGTTTGCGTGTCATAGGTTCGCCATCACTGGCTTAGAGGCATTTTCAATTTCCATGTGGAAACATTTTGTAGTTTAGTGATGACAAATCCTCATGGGAAAATTTTTTTGAAAATCTCAAAGTGAGGAATGAGCACTGTTCTGTTCTCTTCCATATAGGTTGGCAATGGCCAAGGTCACCAGGAGGAGAAGGCTCAAGTGATGTGTAAAGACACAGCCTCTTTCTCTGTGGGTGGGACTTAGCCTGGCTGCCTAGCAACAGGTCAGCCTCCCTGTAACAATGGCTGAGCAGGTGAGTGGCCGGGGGAGGCAAGAGCTTCCTCTGCTTGGACTTGGGTGTCTGGAAAGCTGGTCTTCTCTCCAGGAGAGAGAGAGGGAGGGAGGGAGGGAGGGAGGGAGGTAGGGAGGTAGGGAGGCGACCTGGGTGACAGACCCCCAACCCCTCATCTCACCTGCCATTTTCACCTACAGTGTTCTGAGGTCTGATAGCGGGTAAGTCAGCAGAATTTCTCCTGTCATTTAGATGGTGTCTAATCCTCTGAGTGTTACCAGAAAGGGGACCTGGCCCTGAGTGGGTCTGCCTAGGGCCTGCCGGTAGTATGTGGGTTCTTGACTTTGTGCAGGAAAAATTTTACAACATGAGTCCAGGTGACTTTGAGGGTGTGTTGATTAAAGCTGGGGACAGTGAAATAAAGAAGGGCTTAGCACAGAAGAAGCTTTGGTTCACTGGAAAATCAGAGAAAAGGGGCCATGGAGACAGGTTCAGGGTGTTGGCCCAGGACCAGCTGCTGCTTCCCATTGCTCCCCTAGTTGCAAGTCTCATGGGGTCCCTTGGAGTTTAGGAGATGCATCCCTTGGGGGGAAGAAGAGGGAGAAGACAAGCACAGGTGTGCTCCCTGGAGGGACAGCACAAGCTGGGTCTTTTGTTTTGAGGGTTTTTAAAGGCTGGGAGTTTAGGAGAGGTTTTAGGGCAGATCTCAATAGAATGTTCACCAACTTTTCCAGGTGTGAGCTTTCGGGGTTGTGGTTTCCACTGACTGGTCAGCATCAAGGCAGGTGGTCATTAGTCATTACAGCATATCCTGGTGTCGTCCACCTGGTTTTGTTGCTTTTCTGGGCTTGCAGCTGAAATACAGCTAAAGCCTAGATGTTACCTCTAGGGAGGGGACCTTCTGAATCTGGCTGTAAATTGCTTGGTTAGTTTGTGTAGCTGTCTGTCTGTTTCCCTCTTCCACTTGCCAAGGAATTTTCTTACCTTCTTACTATCCTGACTCATGAGGAACCCTAAGTCTTGGAAATAGGCTTTATTTTAGTCCAGAAAATATGTTTAATTCTTTGGCACTCGCTGAAAATATGGTGTATGGAGACCAAAAAAGAGTAGAATGGTGCTTTGAGCCCATGAAGCCAAAGTCATAGCAAGATTTCATTTATTGCCAACGATTTGAGAATTTTGGAGGCTCACTGGGTAAGACATTTCCTCCCTCATTTTCATAGAATGGAACACTTTCTGGCTTATGGAAAGTTTATAAATTTTTTCATTGTTTAAAGTGGCAACTTTGAATTGATATTTTAAACAAACATTATCTGGAACTTAGCTTTGAGATATGAGATGTATATGGTAACACCCCATTTATCTGTGATTATCAGGGACCAAGACATTTCAGAGAAATAAAATATTCAAGTATTTAGGTTGAGTTCCTTGGGAACACTTGCTTGTGTTAAATATTTTTGATGGAAAAATTTCCCAAATGTCTTGTGTAGTCACTGTTTACTGAAACAAGAGTGTAGTATCAGATCCCATTTGACTTGCTGACTTAAGAGCGTCATATGAAAGCCACTTTCAGGATCATTCTGAACTCTGCATTGCTCCCCAGGGCTACCAGAGCATGTCTGTCTGACACGCCTCAGTGGGCCCAGTGATTGTGATCCAATACTGCTCCTGTTAGCCATTAGTGCCCCTGCACTGTTGCATGGGCAAGAGCCTGAGGATGTTTTATGGACTGTAAAGCGTGGTACCCATGCCTGGTGTAGGCGTTAGTGGTCTCCACCCAGGGAGAGCTGGGTTTGCGTAGGTTGCTTTCATACTCTTGCTTGCAATATGAAGTCAGAAGATCAGGATTCAATTCCAGTCTTCTTTTTCTTGCTATACAGCCCAGGACAAATTATCATCTCCTTTATGCCTTGGCTCCCCCACTAACCAAAATGGTAGTAATAATACCCTGCCCTAGGTGGAGGATTAAACCGTGTGTCCTAAGCTCTAACGTGCTGTGAAAAAAAAAGTTCTCTCATTTAACTAACACACATCTGTTAGGCGGATATTTAATCAATTTGGAAAACCCAGGCTCCTCCTCCATAAAAACTGGACAAAACAATAGATAGAGGAAATGCACAGGTGTCCAGTGAGCAGAGGAGCAGAGTCAATTAATGTAAACCATGGGAGGGGGGGCGTTTAAAGGTTCAGTTGAAGGAACAGAGGATGCTAGAAATAAACATTTCATCTCGAAGCTATAGGAAAACGAGTAAACAGTAAATTAAATGGCCTGGAGCAGTGGTTTTCAACCTTCTGACCCTTTAAATACAGTTCCTCATGTTGTGACCCAACCATAAAATTATTTTCGTTGCTACTTCATAACTATAATGTTGCTACTGTTATGAATTGTAATGTAAATATCTGATATGCAGGATGGTCTTAGGCGACCCCTGTGAAAGGGTCGTTCGACCGTCAAAGGGGTAACGACCCACAGGTTGAGAACCGCTGGCCTAGAGGATTCATGAAGCTGAATCATAAAAAAATAAACACATAAAATCCTGGCTGCCTAGCAACAGGGCAGCCTCACCTGCCATTATGGAGTCCTTTTGGGCTCCATAAAAATAAGCAATTTGGAGTCTGTTTCTTTAATAACAGGCTCTTTCCTGTTTTAGACAAAGAGTGCACCAAGGAAATGATGCAAGTGTGTTTCTGTGTTGGGAGCTGATATAGGGTTAAGCTTCGGAATGACCTGTTGGCAAAGTCACAAAGTCCCAGCTTAGAGGGCACAGTCCTCTTAGCATAATTAGGCTTGACCTTATAACACTCCCTAGATCTTATCTGGGAAGCTAATGGGCTGAGGGAAGTGCAGGAAGTGTAACTATGGTCAAAACAAGTGAAACTCACAAGAACAGTTAAACTATGGTAACCACTACCTTGTTTACCTCTGACTATAAAATGGTTGGTGCAGCCTGAGCACCGGTGGAAGTCCTTCCTCTTGAGTTGGACTTACCTGCCTGGCCCCCCAATATTCCCAAATTGTCTCTTGTCTTTTCTCTTTCATTTGTGTGCAGCTCCTCTTCCAGATCCTGAACCCTGAACCACGTGGGATGTGGAGGGAAACATTTACAACATCTGGCGCCAGACAGGAAATCTGGAAGTGAAGGCTTCGCTTAGAGCAAAAAAAAGAAGTTTCACCATAAAGGTGGGGAAGGATTCACCATAAAGGTGGGAGGTATTTCACCGCATGCAAAGCCCAGATCAGCTGCAGAAGTTGCGATCTGTAAGTAGGGTGGGAACGTCTTTCTAACCAGGCTTATGGGGCAGAATTCGGCTTAAAAAGTAAGAAATTTTATTATAGATTTTTGATTTGCATGCTTAAGAATTTAAAGTTTCAGGAGGTAATCTCTTATAATTTTTGCTTGATGTTATAGAACATAACCCTTGGTTTCTTGAAGAAGGTACATTAGATCTTGAATATTTGGCAAAGAGTTACTCAGAACTTGCTCAGCAGCAGGAAAAAACTTGCCTCCAAAAACTGTTTTCCCTTGTGGGACACGGTATTTCATTTGCTAGAGCCTTTAAGAGAGGCCAAGGAGGATAAATCTCCTCCCCTTGCACCCTCCACTCCTTAAGAGGAGCATAAAGAAAAGAAAAAATGGGAGAAATGGCCTTCATGGCCCCCTCCATGTCCTAATCCTGAAATGTTTAATTCTCCATTAATAGAATCACCTGTGCAAAAAGTCCAAATTATAAAGAAATTGGAATATTAAAAGGTACTCTTTTAAATCAGGCTGAAAAAAGAGTGCCATGGTCATCTTAATGTGGTTTCTTGTCCAAATTAAAATCTTAATTTGGCCCTGACTGGTTTGGCTCAGTGGATAGAGCGTCAGCCTGTGGATTGAGGGGTCCCGGGTTCGATTCCAGTCAAGGGCATGTACCTTGGTTGCGGCCACATCCCCGGTGGGGAGTGTGCAGGAGGCAGCTGATCGATGTTTCTCTCTCATCGATGTTTCTAGCTCTCTATTCCTCTCCCTTCCTCTCTGTAAAAAATCAATAAAATATATTAAAAATAAAATAAATAAATAAATAAATAAATAAATAAAATCTTAATTTGTATTTGGAATCTAAAATCTGTAATAAGAAATGAAACCCCACTGCCGAATCCACCTCTGGTGCGGAGAGATTCAAAGGTGGCAGGAGAGGGCAGAACTATAAACTCTCCCGCAATGAGATTACTTAATGTTTTATTTAAAAATTACTGGAGAACATCTTATGATAACCAAATTTTGGCTAAGATAACCTTGGGTGCTAGCTATTACTTTGGAAAGTGAAATAGGAAAAAATTTAAAATGTCTTTTTCTATTAAGCATGCCTTTGGGAAAAAATACGCCATCTGAGTCATTTGCTGAAACTTCCCCCAAAGCAGGATATGGGGGAAGCGAAGAAGGGAGCGCATGGCAATCCAATATGGATGCCCCCTCCCCAACTATTCTAATTTAAAGTCTCCTTCTCATAATTGAAAAGTTTTACAAAATTTAAAAATGTGTCTGGGATTTCTGTGCACGTGTAAAGAGAAAAGCTGGCTTAAAACTAATGCGCGCAACTGTCCTGTTTTTGGACATTTAGAGTTTTGAGCTGTAATCCCTTTGCAAATGTACAAAATAAAACCCAAGACTGGTTATTTCCTAAGAAAAATGACGAATTTGACCCAGGGAAGAAATGCAGGCTGGTTCTAGCAACAAGATTGGTATTTTTCCATAATAAAGTGATTTTTGAAATGTTAATGAAGCCTGTTCCACAGTTAATCTTAAAGCCTAAAAGAAATTCAGTAAAATTGTCTGTTACAGGAAATTTGCCAAAGTAAATGCCTTAAAATAATAAATGGATTTGAACCTCAAGAATTATTGAAATATATTAATTATGAAGGTCCAGTAGCCCAGGGAGAAACTAGCTTAGCTCTTTGACATTTAAATGGACCAGGATAGACCAAACTTGTTTCGCCAGCAGAAAAACAGTTTTCCCACGGCTGTGATCTCGTGGCCAATTTTGAAATTTCTCGCCGGCAAGCAACCTGCAGGAAACAATGTAGCTACAAGTTTGCTTCTTAACTTTCCCCAGAAAAAATTATGGTCGTTTTAAAGTCAAGGGCTGGGCCAGGCCTGTTTGCCAGCCTCAAGCGTGGTTTTCCAGAGCCGCTGGGAACTTGGGACCTTGGAGTTTACTGAATCAAATGATAAAAACTTATATCTAGGTATTTTGAAGTGAAATAATGCTGAAATATTGATCTGAGTGTGCCTCGTACGAAATCTAGAGGACAGAATTGAATATTCTCTTTAAATCTTATATACACATATATATTTGATGGTCTTTCAAGTTGGATTTTAAAACTATAACCAAGGAATGACTTTGGGACATTTCACGGGCCCTGAAATGTTCTCAAAAGTTTATTCTCTCTTTTTAAAGGATTTTTTAAACCAAATTTAATGACTTTGACTTGAAATACATGACCTTGCGGCACTATCAGTCAACATCCAAGAAGTAACCCTGTAGGTTGCTTGGTGTAAAAGAAAAAGATTTTTCTTTTTTAAATTGAAATTCTCCAAGTGTAACCCAGCTGTGAGAGGATGAGGGTACTGATTAGAAATTACTCTGCAAGAAAATAATAGAAAGAGGTTTTTCCTTCAAACATCTGGAGGACTGTAATTAAATGTACTAGGTTTAATATAGAAAGGTAAATAATTTGGGTTTTTGCCTTCCTGAATATAGCTAGTGTAAAGTTACTGAAAGACTAATTGAAGAAATTTAATTAATGTCATTTCCAGTTTAAAATTGAATTGCCATGGCCTAGAGCAAAGAATATCCTTGCATGATATTATTCTACAATGTCATTAATAATTTTTGATATTTTACAACAGCATATTGTACATTTATCCCAAACAAACTTACAAACTAATTCTTTGAATGTTTGGCAGCAATTTAATAAGGACATGAAAGGGTTTAATCCCTCCCACTGTGTGGAAGGTCCCCTGGGAAGGCACTTGAGCATTCTGTATTGACCTCTCTTGCCCTTTTTGCCAAGAGGGTCCCTCTTCTTACAATCCAATTGCCCACAGCTGTTGCCTGAGCTCTCTGTTCATGCTGAGGTTGAAGCCTCATGGTGGCTGGTACCATGGATCTGTCTCTTGCCCAATGGCATGGGCTGGGCCCTCCCTGGAGAAGAAACCTGGATTCCCCAAGATATGTGATCAATGACGGGGCCCCGCCAGCAGGCGAGGGGATCCCAAGGCAGTTGCTGGGCGTGGAGGCCACAGGGGCATAGGCTACCAAGGAGACAGAACTGAACCTCACATCACCCTGCTTGGCCCCGGAGGATGGCTGGTTAGCCAGAGACGGGTAAGATTCCTCAGGGAAGGAACAACCTAAGACAGGCACAGTCGCAGAGGGGCCATCAGGAGAGAACTTGGGGGTCAACAGTGGTGGGGCACAGATCCTCACCACCTCCAACTATGCAGGGGCTTATCAGGAATGCTCCAGCCATGAAGACAAGAGGAAAAACAATCCAGAGATGGAAGATGCTGATGACGCTTTGCCATACTAGCAGTCAGCAACTGTGCCTGCATTGCCACCTTCTGAGGGAGGTCTCCTGCCCCCATGGCTGCTTCCTGCTTCCCATGCCCAGCTCAGATTGGGACCCAGACAACAGAGACTTGGCTGACAGCAGCTACCCTATATCTAAATCCAGCCTAACACCAGGAATGCTTAGGACCTTCTCAAGCAAAATAATCATTTCCATTAATATTTACAGTGTAAACTAAGATTGTTGTTAGAGTATTAAATTTGACAGTAATGAGTTTAATTGAAATAAGTAGTATTAACCAAAATTTTCATTTCATGGTAAAATTGCTTAACATGCAATGAACCTAAAGCAGTCATATTTTTGTGCAAAAAAATTATAAATTTAAAGTTATCTAGACTACATTATAAAAATTTTCCAAAAGCTTCCTAATAATTAAATAAAAAAAGGGGGGATAGTGGAAAAATACCATGTAAGGAAAAATATCCTGTAACTAATTTACATCTAGAAAAAAGATTTTTCATTTGTAATGCTAACAGCAAGACACCCATGAAAAACATACATGGTGTCAAAATAAGCCAAAGGAAATCATTTGGGCAAATATAAAAAGGATCCCAAGTAAAATTTCCTTTATTAACTTTTGGTCGAGAATATGTTTGTATATTTTCAGAAAACAACTCCAAAACCATGTGGATTCCTGCAACAGAGAGGAATTATCAGGAATGCTCCAGCCATGAAGACAAGAGGAAAAACAATCCAGAGATGGAAGATGCTGACGACGCTTTGCCATACTAGCAGTCAGCAACTGTGCGTTGCTGCAGGTTGCCCAGGATCAAACCAGAGAGGGTCGGACCTGCATTGCCACCATTTGTCCACCATCCAGAACTGAAATATCATTGCTGACATGTACACATAAGGAACTGTCAGACATTGAAACTTGGACTCAGAACTGTTGGACATTGAAATTGGGACTTAAACATTTTTTGTTCTTGATGCTTAAGTTTTACTTTCATTATGGTAGCTTTTTGTTCTTGATGCTTGGGTTTAACTTTCATTATAGTAGCTTAATAATAAAAGAAGGGTGAGATGTGGGGAGCTGATATAGGGTTAAGCTTCAGAATGACCTGTTGGCAAAGTCACAAACAAGTCCCAGCTTAGAGGGCACAGTCCTCTTAGCATAATTAGGCTTGACCTTATAACACTCCCTAGATCTTATCTGGGAAGCTAATGGGCTGAGGGAAGTGCAGGAAGTGTAACTATGGTCAAAACAAGTGAAACTCACAAGAACAGTGTAACTATGGTAGCCACTACCTTGTTTACCTCTGACTATAAAATGGTTGGTGCAGCCTGAGCACCGGTGGAAGTCCTTCCTCTTGAGTTGGACTTACCTGCCTGGCCCCCCAATATTCCCAAATTGTCTCTTGTCTTTTCTCTTTCATTTGTGTGCGGCTCCTCTTCCAGATCCTGAACCCTGAACCACGTGGGATGTGGAGGGAAACATTTACAACATTTCTGCCCACTATTCTCATATTTTCTCATCAATGCTAACATACTTACATCACAGGATGCCAGAATTAAATGAGATGCCATGTGTTACTGAGCTGACACACAAGAAAAACTATATATGTATAATTAAATGGGAATCTGAAGAACACTTTTATTCTCCCTCCTTCTTCCTTCTCATTTTCCCATCTGCCTCTGTTTTCTTGGTCTTTATTGAGAACTGACTGTGTGCCCTGGGCAGGTGCTGAGATGGTCTTGTTCTCCAGAGATTTTGCTCATTCATTTACTTGACCAATATTTCTTTCTTTCTTTCTTTCTTTCTTTCTTTCTTTCTTTCTTTCTTTCTTTCTTTCTTTCTTTCTTTCTTTCTTTCTTTCTTCACAACATACATGCCCTTCCGCATCATAAATCCTTGCAGGTTGTAGAGTAGGTAGGAACAGTCACAACAGCAGCAGAGATTGTTCACCCAACTGTGGGGACAAGGAAGGGTTGTCCTTGCATCAAGAACAAAAAGCTACCATAATGAAAGTAAAACTTAAGCATCAAGAACAAAAAATGTTTAAGTCCCAGTTTCAATGTCCAACAGTTCTGAGTCCAAGTTTCAATATCTGACAGTTCCTTATGTGTACATGTCAGTATACATGATGAGAATAGATAAGAGAGATTTTGTGCAGTTCTCTCGCCTGTGTGCTCATAAGCAGAGTCTGGGAGGCCCCCACCAGGGCCTGGACACCTGTCCAATCACTCCCAGCTTGCTCACTGCCCAGGTGACTTACTAGGGAAACAAGAGAATTGAATAAGACTGACACCTATGGCTACACTTTTTTTCTTAAATTTTGTGAATATTCTGTGGCTAGTAACCAGAGTCTCAACTCTTTGTGTCTATACTCTTTTGTTTCAGGGTCCTTCGCTTTGAATGAGCTGAAGAAAGAAACATTAGCTTCTGCATGTCAGTAAGTCAACCTCTCCTGCATGAGCCACAGCAGCAACTTTATTGAGCTCCAACTATGTACTAGGCTCTTCTCAAGGTCAGTGTTAAGGATGACAATATTCCTGTTTACATTTGAGGAATAATGAATCAGAGGAATAAATCTGTGGTATAATTTCCAGTTCTTTGAAATGCTGTGAAGAAAGACGAAGGAGGGTAATGCTTTAGAGAACAGCAGGTGAGGGTCTGAGCTATTTTATGAGAAAAGATCAGGGAAGTCTTTCTGGAGCAGATAGTATTTGAGCAGATGGTATTACTCCCTACCTGAATGAGGTAGGGAGTAAACCCACAGGAGGATCTGGGCAAAGTATGTGGCAGAAGCAAAAGAAATAGCACATGCAGAGGTCCTGTGGCAGAATAACTTGTCATGACCTTAGGAAAACAAAAGCCAGTGTGGCTTCAGCAGAGTGAGTGGGGAGAGGGCTGTTAGAAAAGGGTCTAGAGCAGTGGTTCTCAACCTGTGGGTCGCCAACCTGTGGGTTGCGACCCCTTTGGGGGTCAAACAACCCTTTCACAGGGGTCGCCTAAGACCATTGGAAAACACATATATAATTATATATTGTTTTTGTGATTAATCACTATGCTTTAATTATGTTCAATTTGTAACAATGAAAACACATCCTGCATATCAGATATTTACATTACGATTCATAACAGTAGCAAAATTACAGTTATGAAGTAGCAACGAAAATAATTTTATGGTTGGGGGTCACCACAACATGAGGAACTGTATTAAAGGGTCGTGGCATTAGGAAGGTTGAGAACCACTGGTCTAGAGGCATGCACAGGTGCCAGATCACATTGGGCCTTGTGGAGCCTGCTAAGGCTTGTTCAGATTGTATTCTAGGGGTGATGGGAAGCTATTGGAGGGTTTTGAGTCATGATTGCATTTATGTTTCTTTAAAAAGAATCACTCTGGCTACTGGAGAATATAAAAGGGTAAGAGTAGAAGCAGAGATGGCAATTAGGGTGCTAATAAAGGGATGGTGAGGTTAAAGCTCTGGAGCCAGACTGCCCAGGCTTGAAGCATAATTCTGCCATTGATGAGCAAAATGAGCATGGGCAAGTTAAACTCCTCTATGCCTCAGTTTCCTTATCTGTAAAATGGAAATGATGATAGCAAGGGCTACCACCTTGTGCAGAGCTAGGTGTAATCACCCCCTGATCCCAGTGAACACAGTGTGAATGGTACCCCTCGGAGATGTGTAAGGCAGTGGTCTTGATCATGATTCCTACCTCATTGGCCCACATCATTGAACACATGGAAAGTGCTTAGAACACTATCTGGCACCCAAGAAGAGCTTAACTAATATTAGCTACTCTTTTAGTTGAGATGAGAGATGATGGCAGCTTTGATTAAAGTGGGATGTGTGACAAGTATTAAAGTTTGAAATAAAAATTGAAGAGCCTGCACTGGCTCTCCAGGGCACAACCAGTATTGATGATGAAACTCACTAGCACATCTCTGCAGGACCTCCAGGTGGGTTTTCTTAGTCTGATTCATTTGGGAGCTGAGTTTTTCAGCACCTTCCCCACCAGTGTGTTTCCCCCCTAAAGTGATGGTTGTATGTTGTATATATTTCATAGGATTGAGAGGATGAAACAAGATACTGCATGCAAATTCGCTAGCTTAGCCCTAGCACATTTAAGTGGTAATAAGTGTTAGCTAACGTAATGATCATGATCATCACCCGAGCAACTTGATGCTCCTGCAGAATGGATGCGTACACCGATGGCTCCGTGGGAGAGAGGACTCCGCAGGTTTTCCCCTTTGTGAGGAGAGCTAAAGAGCGCAGTTGGCATTGGCAAGTACTGTCCCGAGGCCACTGTGTCCCTGACATCCTTTAGGTCCTTCCTGAGAGGCCTATCCTTGTGCCTTCAGATGCCCTGTATGGCACCCTAAGGGCTCAGGTAAGAACCAGCCCGACAAGGGAAAGAATCACCAGGACATACCTAAAGTCACATGATTCAAGAGGCATGATTCATCTTCATTTCATTAATTTCACCACTTATGGAAGTCAAGTCAATCTAAGATTAAGAAATTTGTGTTCTGTTCCTTTTTCTTTCCCACTTGGCTCTAATGAATCACCAGCAGGAATGTTGGAGGTGTTGGGGATGCCCGGCAGGCCCAAGAGTTGTAGATACCCCAGGATGGTGGCTGAGGCATGGAGTCCTGAGGAGCTCTGTTCCCCTCAGGCTGTAAGTCCCAGTCACATGGCTGTCTGGTTACTCATGCGCCTGAGGTAATCTCCCCATTATATTTGTTCTTGGATGTGTGCACAATATAATTCCTTCGTCAAAAGTTGTAAAGGTCGGGCTCCAGCCAGTAGCTCAATATAAAAAGAGGCACCATTTCATCATTCTCGGGCTTGGTGATGAATCCTGCCATGAGCCAGTCATTATAGAAATGACTCAGCCTTTCTCTCCCCTGTTGATAAGATTTTACTGTCTTCGTTGCTGACTCAAGGCTGGCCTGGAGCAATGCAGGGATCAGAGAAGCTGTACCTAAGTGTGTCACTATGTAACTGTTTGCTTGACTTACCTGGATGCTAAGCAAACAGGGTCCATTCCAGTCATTGCCTTCCTTCCACACAATGGGTGCCTGTTACCTTCAGCCTCAACTGCTAGGAAGCTGAGGCCTCAGTCCTATTGACCAAGGGCTCTCAAAGATGGTTCGTGGGCAGAACTCAAAATAAGGCATCTTAGCTCTCTTTGCATCCTAATATCAACAATACTCAGTGTCTTCTTGGGGGTCCCAGGACTCAAATCAAACCTCATTGTAAGGTTACTGGGGGACAATGTTTTGTTGTTGTTGTTGTTGAAATGATCACTCTGTGGGACCTCTGGGGATCTGGCAATTTAGAAGTGATCCAGAATTCATCCATTTATTCAGTAGACGCTATCAACACTGTGTCCCGTGGTGCTAGGCATTAAGGATGGAGAGAGGCCCAGTCCCCAACGTCAGGGACCTCAAGGTCTAGTGTGGGGCCTGATGAGAAAATAAACAATTGGAGAATAGTGTGAGTGGTATTATAACAGATTTTTGGGTACTACAGAGGCATTCAGTGAGTATCTGACCCGCACCGGTGGTCAAGAAAGAACTCCTAAAGGAAGGCATGCTTAAGTGACCTTGGAACGGCACACAGAAGCCATATAATCAGGGAAAGGCCAGGAGGGAGGCAGAGGGACATTCCCAGAGAGAGAGGGAACAGCACAAGATGCATATGAGACAAAGCCAGCTAGCTGTGACCACTGACATCCACTTTCCCCTTTTTCCTGGGCACACAGTTGGATTCTCATTCCCAGTCTTCCTTGCAGGTAAGTGTGGCCGTATGGAAGGCGTGCAGAGGTGATGGGTGGGTCTGGCCCAGAACCTTCTCACATGTGCATTCCGCTGTGCTTTCCCACTTCAGCCAATTGGGAGCAGGCAGGAGGCAGGTCATGAAGGGTCTTGTGTGTTGCTTGAAGAAACTCCAAAAGTTGAGGTGCAGGTAGTAAGCACAGGGAAGCAATCACAATTAGATTTCAGAATTAAGGTGGCACAATATTAGTGACAAGATTGAACTTTGCCTAAGTCTTGTGCTTTTGTAAAACAGCAATACCTAAGAAATCCCCTATCCCCTGTTTCTCCAAATCCCCCATTCTTTTGTGTTTCAAAGATAAATCTCAAAAGATCATCCACCCTCGGATATTTCACAATAAGCCCCATCTCTATTCCTTCTTCAAGGCTCTTACTCCCTGGTTTACCTGCCTGTTTCAGCTACAAGGCCCCTTCCTTTTCAATGAGACATGCTTCTTTAATGAACATTACCCTTATTACAATAACCTGAATAAAAACATAGCCTTAATTGTCTGGTATGTTTTGCTTTCACATAAACACAATAGTGCTTCACTAGGAGCCAGAACTTTCTGAGTGAAAGTAGCTTCTACTTGACAGTAGACCATCATCTGCTTTTTCTGTAACAACTTTCAATATATATTAATTTATTTGTCATCAATCATTCATGAGAATATAAATTCCTTGAGGAGGGAGCTTATCTTCTTGACCACTTTCTCCCCAAAGGCCTATAACAGAACCTGGCACACAGTAGGCACTTAATTAGGACAAATTATGGCATGGCAACCCCGCCCCAACCATCTGAGCGTTCTGACATCCTTCCTTGGCGGCTCCTGCCCTTCTCCCTCTCCCTGGTCTCCCTCCCTTTCCCCCTGTAGGTGTCTCTGTTTCATCTGCTCTAGTCTCCCTCTGCCAACCTGCCTGCCTCTCTACTCTTCTTCTTTTTGGATCTTTTTTCCTAAGCCCCCCTTCCTTTTGCTTCTCCCTCTCTCCTCCTTGAGCCTGGAAGGTCCCTCTTATCCCTTCTGCCCCAATTAGGTTGCTTATTGAGAAGGGTGCAGGGCTAGGTGAGAGGACCCCAGCTGCAGAAGGAGGAGTGAGCCAACCACGCCAGTGTCTGTGCCTGCTGGCTCGGTACAATTCTGGCCACTTTGGACATGCATTTGGCCAAGGGCTCCTTGAAAGTTAAAGATTCACTCGGAATTGGCCAAGTCGGTGTTTTAGAAACAATAAACATGTGGTTACTAAACCCTGCTCTAAGCAGGGTGCTAAGATCTGAGAAGAAGAAGAATCCAGATAAGGCCCCTGCTTTCCAGGTTCTCCCTGTCTAGTTAGCCTAGAACATGGTAGGAGGGACAAAGTCAGGCAGAATGCAGGCTACAGGTGATAGAAACCAGAGAGTTCTGGAAGGGATCAGCTTGTTACCTTTGAGGCATGTGGTCTGTATGTGAATGATGGCAGTCAGCCAAAGGGAGAGATCAGGAATTCAATTGCAGAGGTGGACAGCGCCCTGTCTGTGACTGCCAGTCTTCTTGGCCCACTTGGGCCTAAGCTTAGCTGAGGAGGCCCCTCACCAAGACGGAGGGAAGGAGCTCAAATCCATGCCTGTGGATTTCCTCTGAGTTAGAATAAATCAGGGGGACACTGGGGTGTGGCTGCATGAAAATGTAGTGCCCTGCAGCTAGCTGACCTACTCTAAGCTTCTGAATGGGAAACCAGTGTCTCAGCAGAGTCTGGCACCAGCACTCCCTCTAGTTTCTTAATAAATAAATGTGGGCTGAATTGATTTTGATACTGGGAAACTGTCAGGACATTGTGACTAAGGAAATTTGCAGTTTGATGCCACTTCCTCTGCAGGCTTGGGAAATTGCACAGGTTAGCATCTGATGCTCTGGAGGCCCAATGTGAGGTGGAAGCCAGCTTGAGGCAAAGAGGAAAAACAGATGGTTAATTTTTGCTGGTACGGAAACTCCAGGCAGGTGGTGATCCAATCAGCATGAAAACTGTTTATACTGAATGCACCATGAAATTCCTTTTGTGACTGCTTTTATAAATAGGACTAGAGGCCCAGGCACTGCTTGCCTGCTTGATCAACCCTAACTGCTCGCCTGCCTGCCTGATTGCCCCTAACTGCCTCTGCCTCGACCCCCCACTGTCATGGCTTTGTCGGGAAGGATGTCTGGAAGGTCGTTCAGCTGTCCAGTCTAATTAGCATATTATGCTTTTATTATTATAGATGGGCCAGACTCCTCCCAAGAGGTGCTTGGAAGAATCATGTGGACTCCTAAGGTAGGTCCTTGTAGCTCTGTAACTGTGGGGAGGCAGAGAAGGGAGAGGAACTTTTCCTGAGTACTGGCTTTTATAACTGTGGTTTGGGGAAGAGAAAAAAGAGAGTTGTAGGAATAAGTAAAGTGAGTAAATGTCTCCCCAAGAGGAGGATCCTTGGAGCAAAAGGAATTTGAGGGCAGTAGGAAGGGGTTAACAGAGAGGGGTGCGTGGGTGTTTTGGGAGCACCTCTGGAATTCGTTCCTTCAGGAAGAAAGATCCCTTTTACAGTCTTGATGCCTCTTTCCCCTCTTCTCAATAATTTGGCAGAAAATACCGACCCGAAACTATCCCTGCGAAGGTGTTTATTTAGTCATTCCTTCCTTATCAATGACGGAATCCCTACTCACATTTCACTAAGCTGCTGACTCATAGGTTGCTTTAAAGCTGTGGTTTTTGCACCTTGGGGAGGTAGTTTGATAACATCAAAGTTGTTTGAGTTGGTGTGTTAAGAGGGCGATAACCAAAGTTCACCACCAGCCCAGGTTGACAGATATTTAGGGCAAAGTCCCCAATTCTATTTCCAGATCTCCCTCCCCCATCAGGTAGGATATTTAGAAAAAGTCTAAATAGCGATGCAAAAAAAAAAAAAAAAAAAAAAAGATGAACTTGACTTACTCTATCTCTATAAAAACTAGTATCTTCCAGCTTTCACATTTCAATATTAAGATGCCTTAAATTATTGAAATTTCAATAGCAATAAAGCAACATGAGTACTGGAGGAAGGGGAGAGGGAATATTATTAACTCTCTGTGCTGAGCCAGGCACCATGGGCACTTTGCACACATTTTCACTCTCACAAGAATGGGATATTAAGAAGTGTGACTACCCTCACCTCACAGTTGAAGAAAGTGTGTGAGTGCCATGTGCAAGTTCACATGGTTGATAAAAGATGTAGCCAAGACTAGAATCCACATCAGCATGACTTCAAAGCCAAGGTCCTTCCCACCACACCAGACTCTCCACAATACCCAGAATGCCTTCCTCTGCCACTGGAGTTTCCCTTGACCATCCAGCCACACAATGACTGTTGCTTTGGTTGTAGTGTCAATGCAATCTATCAATGTATTTTATGTGGATAAGCAGAATTATCTGTTTAATAATAAAACATCTTTTAGCTATAATTGCTTTATGATTTATAAACTTCTTGAATCCATATAATTCTTATCCCAACCCTGTAGGGTTGGTATCATTGTTAGGAATTATAGTGAACAATTGCTGCTTTGGCCACCTCAGCATTCATTTCTTTTTTCTGGGACGAACACCATGGCTTCTTTAGGGGATCATTCTTCTTCCCCTTCAGTCCATATGGTTTGTCTGGGGCTGACCCCGCCACTAGCTCTAGGGCTTTAGCCAAGCCTGGCCAATAAGAGCATCTCATTGCTGTGATTGGTTTAGGGGTGGACATATGACCAAGCTGAGCCCATCAGAGCAAATGGGAGTCAGCTCCTGAAATTTTGCTGTAACCATGGGAAACTGGTTCTTTTCTTTCTTTCTGGTGGTGTTGCAGAGCTGCGGGAAGAACTGGAGGTTATCTTTGCCTAACTTGGGGAGAGCCAGTCTGAGAATGAATCTGACGCAGAGGAAAGTAGAGCTGAAGAAGACGGAGGGAACAGGGCCCTGATGACGGTGTCTAGACACCTAGGTTCAATGGTGCTCAGAGTCCAGGGGAGCATGGACTTTTCAGTTTATTATGCTAATAAATTTGCTTTTGCTTAATCGAATTTGAATTGGGTTTCTGTTGTGTATTATTCAAGTTATTGATCCCACCATCAAAGAAAATTTGATTGAGGTCATGTTCATCATTGTCAACCTTATTGACTACTTATTAATTGTGAATTCTGGGGACACAGGAAATATTTAGCCCCAGAAATGTTTCAGATTTTGTTATGGGGTGAAAGGGGTGGTGATGAAGGGAGTGTTAACAAGACAGTACAAGGCACTGTAGCCTAAAATCTGCACTTAAATCCACTCTCCCTCTTTCCTTCTTCCTTCTCCAGCTCTCTCTCCTTTAAAGGGTGCAAGGGAGTCAGAGAAACTGACAACTGGGGAAGTAGGAGGGAGAAGTGGTCTTTGGGGACATTGTTGGAAGGGAAACAGCACTTCCATGTGAGATACACATTAGGCAATATTAAATGTGACACTAGGTAACAGGTGAAATAAAAATGAGAAAAATGCAGTTTCAGGAACTGCACATGATGTGCAAAGTGAAGCTTTCAGGAGACTATGCAAGGAACGGGTGCAGGGGACTACATGGGCCATGGGAAGTGTCATTCAAGGGAAAACATAAAAGTTTGCTTTAGAACACAGAGTAGGTGTGTCTTCAGGGATATACATATGTGCCAATTTTCAGAAAATGCAAACTTCTGCTAAAGTCATAAAATCTATTCTTTCATATTGCATTAATTTCTTTGGCAGTTAAAGAAAATGTGGGTATTTAGATCAAAATGCCTTCAGCGAGTTTGACCATATTAAATAGTTTTCATTTTGTAAATAATTTCAGAATGTCCCAAAATTAAATATTTTTCATGTGTCATTTTGTACAGGCTAAATTTGTAATCAAAACAAAACAAAATGCCTACCTAAATAATATGACTGCAATGCCAGTTTAGAGCAGCCTTGTCAACCTCTTGTGTAAATCAAGGATCTTTTCATTATTTTGAGAAGTCTGCAGTCTTGAAAGTACATTATATGAGAAGATTGTGCACTGATTCAAACTGCAAATGGAAATTTGTATGTAAGGATTCTGTCTTTCCTGACTTTATGGAGCAAACCCTTGTTTATCTAGAATGAGAGAGGAAAAAGAGAGGGACATATGGCATTCCTAAGTTAAATATGAACATCCCATACAATTGTAATAGGCTGAGAATTGTGTTATTCAGTTCACTTGACTTACAAAGCATTTCACTACCTTTCACTAGGTAGCCCCCTGCCTTCCAGGTCACAGGTTCTACACACACATTTGCTAGGATGATGCTGATGATGACATCAGCCATTTTCCGATAAAGTCCCATGAAGACAGAGCTCTGATTGCTGTGCAGATCCAGACTTGAGCACCAGTTTGAGGGCAGGAACCCAACCAGGGATCCTGTTGACATTTGAGATGGGACATTCTGCAGGATGTTTAGCATTCCTGTCCCCTTCATTAAATACTTGCAACACTCCCCAGTCACTGTGACAACCCTGACACCATTACACTTCCAACAGCCTCTAACAAGTTATCTTAGTTGATAACCTCTAAAGAATTTCCTCTTTACATCTAAAAATGTGAGCTTTGGGGGCTTCAGAGGGTTAAGTGTTAAAAGATAGACTGAAGCATAGTAAAAACAAAAAATGAAGAGTTTATTTGAGCAAAAATCAACTGGAACGTGGCAGCACCAAACTGGAAGTGGTTAAGAGCCCTGTAAGGACAGGAGGTGGGGAAGAGGAGGAAGATTTATATAAAAATCTATTCCATTAATTAAAAGTTTAAAGAGGCAAAGAAAGAAAATTATTTGATTGGCTAGAGTTTAAAGACTAGTTGCCTGTTTGTTCTTGGTTATCCTTAAAGTTTTGAGGCATTTGCAGGCTTAGATTTTGGTTTACTTACATGGACTGCCATGGCATTAGAGCCTTATTAATCTCATGGCCTTCTTATTTAATGAATTGAACATAAGAAACTTACATGCCGCCCTAACCGGTTTGGCTCAGTGGATAGAGCATCGGCCTGCGGACTCAAGGGTCCCAGGTTCGATTCTGGTCAAGGGCATGTACCTTGGTTGCGGGCACATCCCCAGTGGAGGGTGTGCAGGAGGCAGCTGATCGATGTTTCTCTCTCATCGATGTTTCTAACTCTCTAACCTTCTCCCTTCCTCTCTGTAAAAAATCAATAAAATACATATATTAAAAAAAGAAAAAAGAAACTTACATGCCTAATCCAACCTCAATCCACCATTCATTTCTGCTGTGGACATGGTTCCGTCCATCTCCTTGGTTGTCAGGCAGAAATAACAGATACGTTGGGATCTTGTTGTTCATGACCACCTTCCACCCCAGATTGTCCTACCAAATTGCACACAAATGCTATAGACCCAGTGCATTAGAAGGCTGTGGGATTATCCTCTGGGAAGGAAGCATTCCAGAAACTTAGGAAGTGGTGTGGAGCCAAAAAGACAGAGAGGGCAGCAGCATAGAGCAACATGTGGTTTCTGAAACCCTTCTGCTGGGAGTAGCCGTGGCTGCAAGATGATCTCAGCTGATGCAATGTCTTTTATTGCCCCTGACTCTGAAGCGCTCCAAGGAAGCCCCTCCCTGTTCCCTTCGATCAGACGTCTGCCATTCCAGCGGCACCTCCACCCAGACTCTGTCTACTCCCAATTGTGGGGTCTTATTTCCTGTTGATCCCCATGTCTGGGGCCCTTAACACATGGAAACTTTCATAGCTGGGCTATTGTGTTGTTGTCAGAAAACATTTAAAGGATTTTAAAAGAGAGGTTAATGGGGCAATACCTGGGATGTATTTACTGTCCTGAGAATACTACCTTGTAGTCTCCACAATGTTTATAGGGTCACATGGCTGACTATTTCCTTTTCAAGTACACCTAGATCAGAGAGCCAATCTGGGAAGCTGCTTTAAGGTGGTTTATAAATGCTTTCTCGGAAACAATAATTTATCTATAATAGAATCACTACTCATTCCACAGGAATATAGCTATTTGGACTACTAAAACAATGTAGAGGATTCATGAAGTTCTCTAGAAATTTGGAGAAAGTAGTGTATTGGTGAAAAAGATAATAATCTTTGGCATGCTGGATTCAAGTCCTAGATTTACTCTACTGGCTGTGTGGCTTTGGAAAAGGTACTTAACCTCTCTGAGAATTCTCTGATTCTCAGCTATTAAATGGAAATGATAATTAAAAAAAATAATTCAGAGAGGAAGGGAGAGGGAGAGAGAAATAGAAACATCAATAATGAGAGAGAATCACGTCCCACAATGGGGACTGAGCCTGAAAACTGGGCATGTTCCCTGACCAGGAATCGCACCATGACCTCCTGAGCAAATGAATGATAGACACTCAACCACTGAGCCATGCGGTCAGGCTAGAAATAATAATTTAACAGGGGACGATGACAAGGGGTTGTTGAGAGGATTACATGAAATAAAGTAAGTGAAAAATTTTGCTAATTTCTGGCTATAATAAGTACTCAGTACACTGTAGTTATGATGATGATTATTTCAATGGAAAAAACGGACACGAGAAAATAAAAAGCTTTTGTGAGAGAGAGAAAGTAGGAGAGAGGAGAGTTGAGGCCAAATAAATAAAAACCTTTTCTACAATTATGAATTTATTAGCCCTCCCTCCCCCAAATATGGTAAGGTTTCAGAGATAAACAGGAGCACAGGGGGGAAAACCAAGGCAAAAAAGGTGGATGTGAATGTAATTAGTTAACAAAATAGATTTAAGAAGGAAGAATTTAAAAGCCTTTGAATTAAGATGCTGGGATTTATAACATGTCTCCTTGTCCATCATGGCCTGTTAATCTGATTCCTTGGAGATCAAAGGGATTTGGCACATTCTCTGGGGCCAGTAGAGTGGACCTGGCTGCATCGACCTGGTTTAAGGGCGGAGCCTCCAAAGCCCCCAGACTGAATTGTGGATAACCAGCCACCTTCTGGATTGGCAGAAAGAGAGCAGGATTTGCCTCATTCAAGGAGCAGGAGAGGAGTAGCTCATGAGGCAGTGCAGTTTCCGATTAATGAACAAAAAAAATGTATGAGTGCTGACCTTGATATTAATTTTGGGAAAAGAAGAAATCTGCTGGCCATTGTATTTCCTGTTAGGAAGCCTTGCGGAAAGTGGAGCCTAAGGGTTCTTCGGAATGACAGACATAATGGCCTCCCTGGGACACAGGTGCAGGTGTGATGAACACAGGCATTGGGGAGGTAAAGGGCTCTTGGATCAAAGCTCACCTACCATTCACTGAGCTCCACTCTTCCTTCTCTCCTCTCAGGTCTCCAGTCTTCCAAAAGCATCATTTATTCTAGCCCATCCTATCCTATATAATAAAAGCCCAGTGATCATAATGGTGTAATGACCAGAATGACCAGTGGACTAGTCACTATGATGTGCACTGACCACCAGGGACCAGATGCTCAACATAGGAGGAGGGGGAGGGGGCGCAGTGAGGCCTGGAGGTGCATGCTATGGCCCAGGGATCTCAGGAACCACAAGCCCAGAGCTTGCTTTCCAATAAAAATAATAAATTGAAAAACAAAACACACAAAAATGGCCGACACTGCTACCCTGGGAAGAACGGCTCTAGGAGAGAAAGGCCTCCCCAGACCCCACCTGGACCGACTGACATGCCGCGGGCTCACAGGGACTCACCAGTGATGCTCAGGAAGTATAGCCCCTCTGACTCCAAAGCCGGTCCAAACGGACAGCTGCTCCCCATCCAGCTCCATAGCAGATGCAGCACTACCAGGACGCCTCAGCTCTGACTTCCAGCTTCTGGCTTCCTGCCCGCCCCTTCCTATACTACGTGTGCTTGAGGGCATGGCTTTGGCCTCCCTGGCCAATAGCACCAGGTCAGCTCCAGCTTCCAGCTTCTGGCTTCCTGCCTGCCCCTTCGCATACTACATGCGCTTGGGGGCACGGCTTCACCTCCACCCCCCAGCCAATAATGCTA